GAAATGTAGAACTTTTGCATACGCTAATTATAGAACTACAATGTAATTTCATCTCGGCAAGCGGGACGAAATACTCCATATGAACGCACGGAAATATTTGTCTCGGTAAGCGAGACGTCCCGGTAAGCGGGATCATATGAACAGGCCCTTACATGGTCGTATATTTGGAGAATTTTTGCAAATATTAAAAATAGTTGGTTCGAATCTTTTACATTAATATTACGTAGAGTTGTCTTTGGGTTTTTTACCATGGAGCAAATACTACAGGCAGTGAATCTGGGTACTACAGTAGTCAGTACATGCAAATATAATCTCTAGTCAGTATTTCAACCAAACTAGTTACACATGCATTAACTAATTAAATGCATTCGGATTTTGATGTTAAATATACTTGATGCGTTGATTTTAACGTCTCCATGCCCTGCATGGCATACAATACGAACCTTAACTTAAGCAGGAAAAACTAGACGAAAATTCACAAAACTGTAAAGAACAGAGTCAAGGTTTACTCTCATGAGACTGTTCTAATTTTGGGGAGGAGAGGACTTTTCTTTTGTTTGTGACAGTCTGATGTGTATTTGTTACGGTGAACAACCATGCGATGATAATAAAAAAGAAACCTCCTCATTGGCATTGCGTTTAGGATCTTTTTGTATCGCGCAGTCCACGCAAATGTCTGCTCAGCAACCATTGTATTTAATTCTGGAAACTCGACTTTTAACGGCTCAGATGAATACAGTGTGTGACATAATTCATTTTTGTGGTTTCGCAGATGAAGGCGATCAATTACTTTACTTATCTTTAGCCAAAGTGAATCGTAAGGTGATGGCAGGGGAAGGTTTACTTTAGCACCACAAAGTTTGCACAAGTTGCACATGTTATCATATGAGAGAATAACATTTTCCCATTGATCTTGTGGGACGTCTTTAAGGCGTTCATAGAGGTAGTGTAAAGTCAAAAGGAATACTTGTCCTGTGGATTCAGACCTGCAAATAAAACATTGGTTGTCAACAACTATGCAAGGATTTTGAAAAGTGAAATAGTTAAACATTTGTTTTAATAGTGTGACCTATCGTTACTAAAGTATAATTATCGGATTTACCCTGCCGAAAATAATATTTAGATTTTATAGACTGCAGCTCTATACACAAACATATTATCTAATATCATATACATTTACCATCACATTACATCTCCTTTAAGCATGTACGTACCTGCTCCTATTTTGACGCATATATTAGTGACATGTATATATAGATCAGTGGTCGAGAAAAAGAACGTGCCGCAACACATGATGGGATGCGTGCCTAGTCATAAAATGAATTAACCATACACTCCCCAAACGGAATACGCTTGAAGCGACTGGGGACAAGGCAGTACATTCAGTCCCTCGTTAAATTTAGTACGGGAGAATATGTCCGTTCGCGAGTTGGGCGTTGACAGCTCCCCACCCTCACCCCTAGAGCGGTATTTCACCTCTTTGGCATTATAAACTTAAATCATTAGTTATTTAGAGGTAGGACAGGGTGTGGGGAGTGAGTGGCATAACTGCCTCATTTTTTGTTATTTATAAAAATAGGTACGCAGTGCGCACAAGTTGCATGCCATAACAACCTAGGGATTGTAAATAACACCATATTTGCAATTTTCCGCGAACAATCAATATATTTTGCTTTGCCTTTCCTCGACGAACACGTGCATTTGGAGTGATGTGTTCACATCACTTTAAAATGCTCATCGGAAAAACTCGGTATTTGTCGTACTTTACGAATTTGCCACGTGACTGGTACGCTTACCACGACACGAAATTTAGAGCTATATGAAATTGGGAAATTTGTACATAATGACATTGCGGTGAGAGCAAGATTTTTAAGAAAAGTGTTAAAATGATATTTTATAAATTAATAAAATTTGGCATATATTACTATGGCAATGACACTTCTCTTGTCACTATCACATGTTTGTAATTGAAAATTGACATGCACTTACTTACAAAGGATTCCATCTGTCAATATGGCCACCACTGCAAACATAATGCAAAAGACCATGGGACCATTTCTGCAAACTTTTTTGTTTTTCTCCAGTGTCTTTATTGCATGGGTCGTTATTTTCAGCTTCGAGTTGGCTTATGTTTAATAATTCTGGGTTTTCAGAAAGAAACATGGTTGTCCCTATTTAGAGTTGCAAATAAATCAAGAGTTATTCTGAAGCAGAATTAATTGTGCACACACATTAATTGTGCACTGCAAACATAATAGGGATCATCCATTTCCACAACTCTCACCATGTACTGTAAGATTTGAACTTTCAAGTCTATTATATTATGTTACACTGTTTTAAGTAAACTGCAGCTTGCAACATGACAAACCATCCTCTGAAAAGTATTGGGATCAAATAATCAGGAAATCTAATATCCCATACATTCATACTTACCTTGCATTTCAGTGACTTCGGAAGCTGTGGTCTGTGGTTTCAGGTTTTTTATTGTCGTTTTCCACTCTCTGAACATCCGAGGAATTGACATTCATATCTACGTGTGACAGTTCTTTCTTCCCTGATAATTGTGTAGAAAAGTACACGGGATGAAAATATACATTTGCATTGGTGCAAATGTATCTGCAAATACGATGCAAATTTCATATTTGATCATCTTTGCCATATTTGCACCCTTGCAAATTTATAAATTCGCACCATATTTGCAAGGGGTGGGATGGTGCAAATGCCGCGATGACAGGTATCTTTGCAGCCACTGCAAATATGATGCGTATTTGTAAGTTGGCATGTAGTGCCAATTTATCGTGAATTTGATGCAGATTTCAAATTTGCAATTGAATTCGCCGCAGATTCAAATGTATTGTTTTTCTCAATATTTGCTGCAATGCGAATTTGAAGCATATTCATGGCAAAATGTTTTATAAAGATCCGTGTCCACTTGATCCATGATTTGGGATTAGGGTTGTTTCCAAAACTGGCTTACCAGAATTCGGGCCTCCTTTTGCGAAAATTTCCTGCGCAACTTTTACGTCAAGGCAAGATGAAAATAAGCAATACCAAAAATTTTTCTCATCGTCAGTGATTGACACGATTCAAACTCATAAGACCAAAGTTTATAAACCATTCAGGTTTTGTTTAATAATGTAACAATTACAAAATATATATCATATATAACACACCCTGACCCAAATACAGATATATCCGGCAATACCTATGTAATTAAATCAAAAGTCGGCCTACTTAATTAAAATAACTTTGCCGATTGTCAGCGCTAGTATAGAAAGAACATCGCGAAATGTTGTAAAATGAGGAATATATAGCCTTGCAAAGCCGGTTTGTGCAATTTTTTCTCTATATATAGGCTTGAAATGCCTATACCATATTTAGGCCTTATACAAAAGTATACAAAATTAGTGAACTTTGCAAGGTAAATTTTTCAGCATCATTTACAGCATTTTGGAACCAAATTTTGCAATTTTAATAATTTTAGTATGTTCTTTCTGGGAATATACATTTTTTGCACAAATCTAAAATTACTGTCTATCTGGCAAATTGTCAATTGACTGATTCACGATCAATTGGCATTTAACTGAACATGGACAAACGATTCACTCCAAATCTAAGACGCGGACATGACGAAAAACTAGTACTGCCGCCATTCTCCCAGATTCACTTCACGCGGCCTGGTAAAAGTTATGCATTGTTGTTGGTATAAAGAACGTCAGAGACACGAGAAAAACAAAGTAAAATACTGATTTCTAATTATTAGGGACTGTTACTTAGTCGTGTCCGCGTCGTGCATTTGGTGCATCTTATATAAATTCGTTAACATAGATCAAACGAGACGCAAGTCGTCGCAAGCTAAAACTCTTGAAGCATGGAAAGAAGCATAAGATACTTCAACAAAGCGTCACGCGGAAAGTGAAATACATGCGCATGCACTCGGAAAGTGAAACACATGACTTAATGTCAGAATATACACTGATAAGCTAAGATTTCCCGCTCTTTTCTGCACTTCAAAATTTAAAGTTAGGGCTTGCGATCGATAATTTACGTTGGTTTGATACACCCTAGCAGCAGGATAAAGAGTAGAACGAGCTTAAAAGTTTCGTTCTTGGCCTTCAATTCACTATCGATCATGAATTTATACGAGCTGAGGCTGGGCGCTATTTTAAAATATGCCGTACGATAAAGAGAACCAAATTAATGAAACAAAGGCGAAAAGCAATAAAACCAATGCCAAATAACGTTTCTTCTGCCAATGACGAGCCGTTAATGTTCTCCAATTTCCCTCCAATCCGGGATGTTCTCTGGAGCCTCGACTGTTATAGTTTCTCCAAAAATCCGCTCCTTCATCATTGATCTGGATTTTTCTGTCACCTTTCTGAGGTGCTTGTTGTCCAGAGAATCCAAAATGTTTGAGAATCTATCACTCCTCCAGGATAATCTTTTTATTTTTATTATTTTCTTTGCCACTTGGCCAGCTTCTTCGGAATCCGAAGAAGAGGCATTGTCTTGGGTGGCCGGCCGTTCGTCGTCTTCACTGTGCTCTGGCGACATTGAAGCTAACGACATGCCGCAACGAATTTCTTCCTTCTCGTCCTCTGGCCATGATGTTGACTTAATTAGAATGTCTAAGCGACGTCTAAGTTTCTGTATATATAACAAAGGAAAACAAAAGGAAAATTATGATGAATGCCGAATATCCTACAAACTGTATCTGCCTATATGTCCTCACACTTGTTATTGTTAAAGTGCATTTTGAATCGAAGTATGTATTGTAGCCTTAAATGAGGTAGATAACCCATTTAAGTATAGGGCTTAACTCGAAGTAAGAAACACAATTTGGAAAGTTCGAGTTAAGCCCCGTGAAAAAGAGAGGCTTAACTCAAAGTCATCGAAAATATTCGACCCTCGAGTTAAGCCCCGACATTTGAGGCATGCAAAATAGCAATGATTTGAGTCATCCACAATCTAGCTGAAATAGTTATCATACGTTCTTGCGTCTCGGCTTAAATAAGCTGCAGCCAAAATGAGTCACGAACAACTCATATAAGCAGTCAATTTTCATTAAATAATAGCTTACAGCAATTTGCATTCAAGCACATTCTGAGCTTACAGCAATTTGCATTCAAGCACAAACCGCAAATATTTTCGCGCGTTTGTTTACGTTTGAAACGAGGCGTTTACTACCCTGGTTCCAGAGGTTTATTTCTATTATTTTCATTGCGAAGGGCTGTGGAACCAGGGTAGGCATTTACCGTTGGAAATGTTTCGCTGCTCATGCGACGTGTTACAGTTCAAAGTCTAATTCAGTTATTTTTCATGTTTTAATGTGATTTCGTGTACGTTTCAGTATTTCCAAGCTCACGATATTGTAAGAGCAGGGACGCCGAAACGATAATAAGGCAAAGGGGGGCAGACGCACACCAAGGGCACCTCTATAGAGCAAAAGTTCAAAACTCTACCGGAAAAAAAAAATTTAAGAAATTTTTTGGGCGACAAACCCAGCACGTTCCCCTCCCCTCGTCCCCCTCCCCGTCGTCAAAAATTTGGTCAGTGTACCATTTTAGGGGTCAAAAATTTTTTCCGGACATACCAAAACTTCCGTTAAGTTAAAAAAATTTTCTAAATTCCAAAAATTTTCTAAAATATTTGTAAATTAAACTCATTCTTTACCAAATTCACAATTATTTTTGTTAATTTACTTTCTCTGGGCCTATAAATTACCCGAATCTCATGATTTTACCAGAAAAAGCATCACTGGAAATGTGATTTATCACATAGTATTTTACAACTAAAAGGGCACTTCTGCCCCCCTGCCCCCCCCTAGCAAAAGGCAAGGGGGGCAGCCTCCCCCCCCCATTCCGGCGTCCCTGTGTAAGAGCGTCCAAACTTGTTTATACTTTTTGTGACCAGAACGTATTATCGTGGGCTTGGAAATATTGAAACGTGCACGGAGGCACATCAAAACATGACAGTTGCACCAAAAATAGCTTAATGCTTTTCACTGTGACACGTCACATGAGCGGTGAATACATTTCAGTTTCCAACGGTAAACAACCCGTTTCAAATGTAAAAAAACGTGCGAAAATGTTTGCGGTTTGTGCTTGGAATCCTTGGATTCAAATTGCTGTATTATATTATGAATAAATTGGCCTTTTACGTGAAATAAAACCGCGAGGTCAATTTATTCGTAATAATATTCATGATTAAAGCTCAGAGGTACAAAACCTAGTCAAAAATAATCTGCTACTTAATGAAACTTGATTGTTCATACAAGTTGTTTGTGACTCATTTAGGCTGCTGCAGCTTAATTGAGGCAATTTAAGCCGAGATGTATGGTAACTATTTCCAGCTAGATTCCGGACCGTACCAAAAAACTTTCCCTAATATCCCGTACTTTTCGCAAACATACAGAATATTTTTCGGACATAAGAAATAAATTTTCCCTTATATCTCGTAATTTTCGCACAAGCGGCATACAAGAAAGATTTGCCCAAAAGATTTGCCCGATTTTTTGAAAGATTTGCCCGAATGAGGCATGGATTTCTGCCCGACCTTAAAAATTTTTAGGGGGGCCTGTGACTCCCCCCCTGCAAAGCACAGAATTCAAGCTACGATCTTGGACATAACTGGTTGAGAATATTTTCCCCCCATAGAAAATTCACATATTTTTATGATAAACTCCATGATAAATCATGTTGCCCTTCTTAGGGAGTGGTCATTATTTATGAGGGGGGAGAGTAAACGAGGGGCCGGGGGGGAGACACAAAGTTTGTTTTGTCATTGTTCAATAACTTTGTAATATTGACTGGAATGGTCTCAAGGGTTTTGTCCAAGATTGTAGCTGGTCAAGATCTCTCGTTTGAGTGTTTGACGTCAGACCGGCAAATGTTATGCATTTGTGTAAAAGCACAATCTGTTCGAGTAGCGGTCACACTTTTTGGTGTTAAACCAGACGGGAAATAGTATTTTACATTTTTTCCTTATGATGCTTTTCATGCTGTAACATAAAGAAAATTTTCGACTGACATTTTCTTAGAAGTGACGTCTGAATGATGCTTCATAATTTTTGGATACACTAGCGGGCTTTGGACTTGATCGGCTTGTCGGCGTCTATCCGAAACGCCACCACAGACAGATATGGGATTTTACAGCATTTTAACTGAGCAGTAGCACAAAGAAAGACGACAAGGATGTGATCAAAGTATTTCTCACGAGTATAATTTTTTGAGATGATGTTTACGGATTAGAACGGATTTATATCTTATTTGTATATGGTAAGTTTAGTGTTATATATTAAACTGTTTTAATGGTTTAGGAGTTCCAACCCGAATTCAACCCGATTGGGTATTTTATATGGCTATTTTAATAAGTAAGGCCCTAAGCGACTCTATTAAGCAAAATTATTTACTGCATTTTTTTATGCTGTATTGTATATACCATAGACTCATAAAGCATAGTTTTGAATTTATTATTATCAGGCATTATCAGCATGATGGTATTTTCAGAACCCACTACCCAGGCATAAAACCGAAAGATATCAACACCCTAATAAGCACAGAGTATATTGTGTGTACGTTTAATTTTAAATGTGAGCCCCCCCCCTTTTGAAAGCATGCAAGAATAATATTCAGTATTTATGTTGATTTACCAGTTAGAGTATGTTAGAGATTGTGATATATTAAAGTAGCATAAGTGGAAGTAGTATAGTATTGACTTATTACTTAACCCATTTACTGGCAGTACTCTACCACTGACGAGTAAAATCATCTGGCATTAGACAGAGTGAATACTAAAGTAGTGCACATTTGGGTGCATTGCTAGTTAATGAGTTGATAACTAAAGAGACATTGCCAGATTGGTTTGTTAACTCATTTACTGGCAGTAATCTACCATTGACAAGTAAAATCGTCTGGCGTTAGACAGAGTAAACACTAAGGTAGTGTGCAGTCGGCACATCGCCACTTAATGGGTTAAACCTGGTTTTCATATGTCATAATTTATCGGATGTCTATTGTCAGTGGTCTTCAGTGCATAAAATTTGTCGGAAAAAAACTTCCACTTTATTGATCGCCAACAATAAACACCAACACATCGCCGATGAAGTATGACAATATGAATTTAACCAGGCTTTACTGTAATGTTCACTCCCCCCCCCCAATTAAATTAAGGCCAATGTAATTATCGCACAAGATTTTGCAAGTACTAGTTACTGTTTGATTTACCAAAATAAGCATGTTTATGTTTAAGCCATTAAATCACAATGCATCCAAATATGCCCTACTTTATTCTCTTAGTCTAACAGCATGCTAAAACCCGGATTTGGACCCGGAAAACAAGGGAATAATCATATAATAATAAAATAATTAAACTCAAGAAAACAATCAAATAAATAAATGTAAAATATTCTAATTTAAAATTGTAAACCAAGCCTATAATTAGAAGTTTGTCAATGTTTTTTTTGCTTGTTATGGACATAAATGTAACTAAAAATCCTACGCAGGCTTTGTCCGCTTTGAAAATTTTTTTATTGCACTGATTTCCGACACTGGAATCAGTGCGGTATACCAGATTGACGACACACATAAAGAAACACCTAGCTTGCCTATACTTGTTTTCTTCTCGGTTTTCAAATCTTGATGAACTATGTGAATAATAAATTTTTCTTTGTCTTTATGGTTTAAGGGTTTTATATGTTTTTTGTAATTGTTGTAGACAGTATAATTGTAGTTAAAAACCGTGTTAAATACTTTACAAGTTCAACATGTGAAGTTGTCCATGGTAGCAAATTATGCGATATGAGGCCAACTCAAATGAGGACAACATCTATTGTGTCAAATGACAAATCTTATCTTAAAAAGTTTTCTAGTTAAGTATGAAACGTAGCTAAGTGTGCTTGAAGCTTTTGTCTGGACATCATCGCAGAGGATGTCGTAGGGTAGCCTCAATTCTTAAAAATTCCTGAAAACAATTTCACGTTTAAAATATTTCAATAGCAATTTAGTTATCACATTACATGTAACCGGCAGCTGAAAAATTAAAACGTTTGAAGTCAGGATATTTTAGGAGGAAACTGGTACATTTGCAGTGACTCTCGGGAGATCTAGGATCATTAATTCTCTCACAATTAAAAAAATAATTAAAATTATAATAAAATTATATTATTATAATTATATTATAAAATTCCCTGGAATGGAGATTTGTAACAAACCATCTCGGCAAGGGAGATTCAGGGGCTTTGGTGGCGAAGTGGTTAGCACACTTGCCTTTCACCTCTGAGGCTGCAGGTTCAAGCCTCAGTGAGAACTTCCTCTGCCAAAAGTTGTGGGTTTTCTCCGGGTCGCGAGTAGCTCTTGTTGATGTCCAGTTATCGTTTTCCAAAACTGGCGTGATATACCGCGCCGTGATAAATAATGAAATAAAACGTATTATAAAACCCTTGGATGTCGATATGAATGTATCATCATAAAGATGAAGACAAATTTACTATTCACGTAGTTCATCAACATTTGAAAACCTGGAAGCGGACAAGTATAGGCAAGGTGCTTCTTTACATGTGTTCTTGTCGTCAGTCTGATATCGCACTAATTCCAGTGTTGGAAATCAGTGCAATACAGAAATACATGAAGTGCACAAAGCCTGCTCAG